AAATTAAGTCTGTTTTTGTTAATTACATAATTTAACATCTGACTCCTCTTAACAATGTCATCTCTGTCTACTAAATGTTTCAGAAAAAAAAAAAAAAAAAAAAAAAAAAAAAAGGTAGGCATACGAGGGTAAGACCATAGTCGTATTACCATGGTCTTCCAATTAGGATTACTGTATAAACTGATGAAGATGATAATTTATCTAATGATTTGATGATTATAACCATCACTGATAACAGAATCTTTACCCAAGTAAATTGGTGTCTGTTAATGAGTTAAATTCTACCTACAATATCACTGTCAATCTGATACAACTAAAGAAATGCAAAGAAATTTGACAGGGACCCTAACACACACACACATATATATATATATATATCAATTACCGTGTATGCATATAAACACTACCATACGAAGGGAGAAAATCCCATTTAACATAAAGCTCCTTCCTAAAAAAAAACTTCCACCACAATCTTCCTGAAAAGAGTTGATAAATTTTCAAAACCAGTAATTATCACACAAATGAGACATAAATTATTAGGCCAAAAATTGGCAGGGCAATGAAATTACAATGGGATTATTCGATGTTTGATTTAGGTCATCGGCATGGCTATCTAGATAGGCATGCTACAACAGTCAAAATAAATCATCAGCAAAACCATTCTACAAGTGTCCATTAAGTTACATGACTCTCGGTAGGATAAATTTGCTTAGGAGTGAGTTATTTCATCTAATCAAATAAAATAATACATGAAAGAATAGAAAGACTGCAGATCAACTTCGATACCATACTTTGAACAAACCATCTAAGCAGATGATGCGTCGGAGATGCCAAACAGTTAAAAGCACCAAAATGGACTTGGGAGTTCAGCTAACCCATTTATGACCACTCTCAGCCTCCTGCAATTGTTCTGGCGGGCAAACATGCACGGACAAGGTCACCAGAGATTCCACGATCCAGTTTCAGTTAACCAGCAGAAAGAATAATGTCATCGCAGTTTTCAGGGATCATCTTCCAGTCTTTGCACGTTTCATGCCTGCAGTGTTGAAAGGTGACATGCTTGGGCTCATACTAGGGCTCATGCTCGGGCTTTCTTCTCTGAGCGTACCATTTAGAATAGCTAATTCCCTCAGTTGTTGCTTCTTATAGTGATCCAAAGATTCATCCTAAAGAAAGAGGTTAGAGAAAAAAGATGACTTGAAAACAAGATTTAACGTACATTAAATGTAATCAAATTAAAGTTAATTGATAATACCACAGGCTTCAAAAGATCTTCCAGCACCGCAACTGCATGATCCAACCGAGAATTTATTATATCCTCTGGAAATTCAGCTTCCACCAAAACATGCAGTGGCTCATTGAGGTGTTCATATCCAGGTTTATCTTTTAGCTTTTCCTCCTAAAGGAAATTGAGGATTTCATCACAAATATTAAATGAAGAACAAATGCACGGTAAAACAGAGTTAAGATTATAACAAACCATTATTGGAATCACTAGAAGGAACCATCAGGTCCATGACCGCTTTGGAGAAAACCTAACAATTTTTTTCCCAATCCCCTTTTGATATATAAAGTAATCAATCCAAGGAAAACAGTACAAGCAATGATGATGGGTTGTCATAAATATACCATGTAATCATAAAGGTTAACGGAAGCCGAGAAGCTGCCAATGGACTCAATACAATATAGAATTTTTTTACTGGGTTAGTCAACAAGACTACAAAAGCTCAAACTATCCTAGTTATCAACACTGGATATGCTTGGGTAAAGCCAGTCATGAAAAACTGAAGAAAATAAATAGTAGCTGTTAATTAATTAGTATATTATTTTGAACACTGGCTGCTTATCCCCCAACCTCACCTACAGCCATAAAATGGAGCTCATGGGCTCATTCCCAGGTCTTATCATTGAATTTCTTTCTAACACTTGGCTGGATAAGACAAGAATGACAAACACTACTTCACACTTCACCATGCTGGCATTTCACTAGCATCAATCTCAATAAACATGCCTCTTTGGTTATTACATTAACTTGGAAGGTAATACAGGCAGGCATCAGATGAACCCCAATTAACAAAAATTTCAAAAAAGCAAATAGGCGAGGTAGAAAAAACAAATAGAACTTCACTACTTAACACCTTGCGAAAACTAGCATCAACAGAGTACGGGGGCTCAGAAAAAGCCCCTCAGTGAGAAATAGCAGAAATTAGAACTTTTGCGGCCATCAATAACCATATGACAAGGAATAATGATAATGTAGACAAGAGCTAACAAAGACACTGGACTGGTTTCCTTCTCTACAACTTGAACTCAGCCATTGAGGTAAGTGGCAGTTTGAAACTCAAGGTCTGATATGAAAATTCCAGTAAAAGCAAAGTAAAGAGTGAAAACATTAGCTTTAATCCTCCGCAATACAAGAAAAATAAGACTTGACTCATTTCAAGACTATTATCAAGTTGGAGAAGGCTATAAAATACATTTTAACAAAACGACGCCATTCTTGTTAAACATATGATGTCAACAAGAAAATGATACAAAGAGAGATACTTTTTCAGAGGAAAAAGAAAGATGTCAAGCAGTACATTCCTATTACCAAGACGGCACAAGGAATTGAAAGTAAGCCCATGCTAAAATGTTTTCCTAGTTACCCCTTTCCAGGGGCATAAAATTAACTTTTAGCAATTAGAAAACTCATATGATTAATTTACTTCCTGATACTTTGTTGGTAAACTGGAAGATGTGAGAAACAACCAAATATAAGATGTTATCAATCAGAATGACATCGTTAAGATAGAGGTCAGTTCCATGTCAATTTAGTCAAACTGCAAGTGGACCAAGCCATTTATCTCAAAGATACAGTTCCAGGCATTTATGCAGTCTAAACAAAAGATTTAACGACTGATAATACCTTTACAGTATCCTTCACAGAGCCCCGACCTCTTATGTATACTCTACATTGTGTCAAGGCTTCGACCCTTTTCAAAGAGTTTCCACGCGGTCCCAAAATTCGACCAACAAAATTATACTGCCAGTTTTTCAAGTTAGACACCTTGAAGAAAAGAAAAAAGGAAAATGTCCTCCAAAATATTGAAATATCTCAACTTACATTTGGATACTTGTCCACTGGAACATCAAGTCTAACAACTCTCTTTACAACAGGTGTCGGTGGAATCCCTGGCACCCCAGGCCAACCCATTGAAGCAGCTTGACGTGCAGTCATTCTTTGAAGATGCCCATTATCCTGAAGCAAGAGATCTAAAATTAACAAAAATTCTTTCAAACGGAATGCAAGACTTTTTTTTCCTGCTATTTTTTAAGCATGGAACAAATGCATTCCACTGTTACCTGTTTTATGTTTTATATGTGGGTTTTTTTATCCTATAAAGATCAACCATCTAGACCACCAAAGTTTGGACATATGTTTCAACATTCCTTTCTAAATCATAAGACAAAAAAACAAAAAAATATTCTAAAAAGAAAACTCCATACAGCATTGTGGTTTTAAAACAGCATTAGAATTTGGGTCTATTAAGGACAAATGGCTCCATTATTTTGAATCTATTGTTTTAGGACACACTCTGGTTAGCCTAGATGATTTTGGTTCTATTGTAGATGTACTCACTGATCTATAAATTTTTTGTAAACGAGTGTCATCCCCTTGGTGCCAACACATCAATATATTCTCTAACTTATATCTAAAAAAAATGTCATTTAGAGACAGTTGGAGCAAGTTATCTCAAAAAAAAAAAAAAAAAATAGAGAGACAGTTGAAGCAAGAAGATTTCCAAATATTGGCTCAGGAAAGAAGATATCAAATTAAATGTAAACTTTACTGCACCAACATAAATGAGAAACAAAGACCAAACAATCCGACAGCAAGCAGACTTGTAAAGTAGTCATAATGCACACCAATATAAAAGGGTAAATTTGCATAGGTAAAAATGGCTGCAGTGACAGGAGACTATCATGCTGTAGCTTACAGCAAGGACAACATAACTTCACAGCAAAACATAAAATTTCATGAAATTGCTACAACAAACATACATTGGATAGTAAGAACAAACTAGCATTACCTCAGTTTGCATCATGGACCAGCCCTCCAAATCCATTGGTCTTCCATTCACGGGTTGACTTAATGACCTAAATGGACTATCATTCTCAAATCTTTCATGATCCACAAAACTTGACACCTTTCTGATTTCTGCAACAGAAGAACAAGCAGATAAGCAGTCAGTATAAATAAGCAATGACTGACAGGGAAAGTTTACTAGTTGGGTTTTATTCATTGTTGAATGCTTTTCAAGACAAGAAGGAGGGAGTAAATCCTCTGCAAACATAGTTTACCTCTCAAGAAATTATCAACAATCAACAGTCAACTCTAAATGTCAGATAGCATGAACTAGGCCTCCAACTTGGAAGATTTCCAGAAGACTTGAATCAATCTTCAATTCATAAAGAGGTTTCAAATTGCAAATACCTTGTCTTGAGAAAGACTAGAAAGAAACTGTTTTCAATTTATAAGAGCTTCTTTTACGGAGAGGAGGAGGGGGGGGAGAGTACCATTCACAAGGAAAGATGGGTGCCAACCAAAGGTTATACAGGACAAAAAAATTTGAGTCAGGTCCCTAAAATCAGGAGCATCAGAAGTCAAGCAACCAGAGGGTTATAGATTAAGAGTCTGGAACCATTTATTTCAAACTCTATAAAAAGGAGTTAGAATCCTAAAGGCTCTCTTGTTTCTCCTTTTCCTGATAACTTAAAGAATATGGAGACGGTGGTAAGAAAATCAAGGCTGCAATTGGTTAATTATAAAAAAATTTCCTAGAGAACACAAGAAAAAACTTTTATTTTTTTTACTATTATTTTAACATTATATCATATCTTTACTTCTGTTTTCTAGAAATTGTTTTCATTTTAAACTACCATATATGTCTCTGTATATATTTATGGAAAATGAAATTTTGAAAACATTATGTGGCAAATGGAGCCCAACCTTCCCCAATCCCCACTCGCCTCCACCACATCCCAATCTCTCAACAGTATTAACTAAACAATAACAGCACCAAGATCACTGGTATGTGATTGACAACCAACCAAGTTTGCGAGATAATAGGGCAAAAAATAGCTTTGCTGCTGAAGTAGACTCAACATTGTATTATTCTTCAATGTTTTTGACATCCCAATGAATTAAAATTTATATATGGAAAAGCAAAATCCGTCTTTCAGGCATGTAAACAGTATTTCAAATCCAAATCAACTAATCATGCGCAATATGTCAAATATATAAGAGCAATCTTGCAAACTAAACCTCCTTTCTGTTAGAACTTAAATAATGTTAAAATTACATATAGGTGAACAGAATGTTTGACGGGCATAAAATAATCTGTCACGAGCATATTCTACACAATATGTACAGTACTTTTTTCATGAAAACAAACAGCAAGGATAAACACATACTCACCCACACAACGCATTTAGAAGGAAAAATAAAAAGAACTCAATTGACAATCAAATAACCTTGATTTAGAAGCCGGCTGCAGTTCGGCAGAACTTGCATAAATGGTCCCAACTTTTGCCTCTCTGCCAATAATTCCGTCAAGTATCTGCCACTTCACACCCAGTTAAATCACATTAAAAGCCCAGAATCCGATAACATCATTTCTGTCAGAGGCAAAGAATCTACGATTTTTTATGCTCTAAATATAAGTCATGCTGTATATAAGAATGCATTTTAGTCAATGATACTTTTAAACTGCAACTACTAAGTCATGTCTACCGTACAACCACAGGTAGATAAAATTATTTCTTTTCTTTCTTACAGATTTTTAATTTTTTTGCTCATCCTCCCTTCCTTAAGTTGATATTGTTAATATTTAGAAATGAAAAAGAACAAGGGAAACTAAAATGTCTTACATAATGCTTCCTCTGTTTCCTCAGAAGTAAAAAAAAAAAAAGAGAGAAAGCCGATATGACATTTTTATTTATCAAATGTTCATATCCAGGGAAAATGAAGGAGCTAAGTTATATTTTCAAAAGTATTTCCAAAGAAAATGAGAATTGAGATTGCCCCACTGACTCAATATTCATGTCTTAATGGCAAGCAACAATACATCGACTACAGGGGACATAGAAACCTAAATGCAACCGCAGGAACCACTATATGCTTGAGTTATGGAATACTTGCAATTGTCTATCAGCAGAAGTTTCAGTGAGCTTTAATCCTCCAGAAGATATTGCTCAACAGAATTTCCTTTAAACAGTTAGTTTAATGTTACCAAAAGCCAATCTTAATAATTTTTTCTGGCTTTAAAAAAATGACATCTGATCTCAAATGCTAACATTTCTATAATAGCACTCATATAGTGTTAATTCTCACATCTAAGACAAAACATGCACCAGAATTCCCATCAAGCAGGAATCCCAGTCAATGCCAATTAAATTCTCCAGATTGTTTAAATAATCAAAGATTCATGAATATAACATAACTTTTATTGGCAATCGTAAATCTTTTGGAACCTTGTAAAACAGTATAAAGTAGCATGATTTTATTATATTAGACTGGATCCAAATGTTTGTGCAAACAAGGCGAAGTATGTATTTTCAAGTTTATTCATTTTCTTATAAGCGAATTCAGATTCTCCCATCAGAAGCATACTTTACAACACTGAACAAATTGAGGGTCAGAATGTGCATTTCTGAGTTGGTGCATTTTCCTATAGAGCAGAAATCGCTTTCCTTTTAGAACGACTTATCATCAAGAAAGCAAAACTAGTACTTAGTTACATTTCCAGTTAATATCCTTTTTCTTTTTGGAAAGAACACTGCCCCTTAGACAACGGAACCAGACTACAAAGACATTCATGCAAATTTGAGGATTGGGTTATAAGCTGTGTATTCCAAGGCTTAAGCACTTGCCTCTGAGTCAAAATTGATTCTACTACAGTTTACTTATCATCCAAGTAAAAAGAGTGTTTGGTTCCAACTCCAATGACATGCTGCTTGCAGACTTCACAACAAATTCAAACACCCAGAACAAAATTAAAAAAAGTTTGTTTCATTTTTATCCAGACAGAAACTGGAACGAACAAAGACAATTTGATGCCTACCTTTGTAGCCAGATTTCCTGGCAGACTTCACAACAAGTTGAAACACCCAGAAAACAAAGTTTGTTTCACCTTTCATAGAAAGAGAAACTGGAATGAACAAAGATATTTTGATGCCTACCTTTCTAGCCTGATTTCATTTCCTGCAGAGTTAAAAATAAATAACAAAAGCTAGAAACAACGCCCAGGAAAAAAAGCCTAAAAGCCCACCATCACCATCCCCTCAACTGAGGTTAAGAGGAAAAAGGAAAAAAAATGAAATCAAAACACACTTGAAACCACACAGCAGAAACCCAAAACAAGGAAACGATCAAACTTCAAAGCATCAATCATCGGATAAATCAAATACTACTCAATCAATAATCATAACATATATAACATAGGGTAATATAGACAAGCTCCAGCCCAAAAGTGTATACACGGATAGAAAATCACCTTTCACGATCTGTTGGGATAGAAGAAGACCTGTGGGGAGAAGCATGGACTCCAGAAGGAGGGTATTGAAAGTAACTTCCTGGTGGGATTCTCTCTCCCATCACAAAAACCCAGTATTTCCAGTTACAGTAACTGTGTTATTCAAAGTCAAAACACACAAAAAAAAAACAGACCAAGTAAGAGAAACCCAAAGACAAAAACCCCAGAAAATCTATTGAAACAGGGACAACCCATATATACACATGGATATACACACACACACACATAGAGAGAGAGAGAGAGAGAGAGAGTAAACTTACTGGAGCAAGAGGGGAAGTAGGTATAGGGCAGAGATTCAAGTCTGCTACTTTTCTCTCTCTGCCCTCTTATTTGGGTTGCAGCAGAAGCAGCAGCAAGAGAAGAGGAGTGAAACGCGACAAAGCCCTACTCAAAGAGAGTCAGATCTTTTGCTTTGCTGTATTTATGCACTTTTACTCCCATTTTTTTTTTCACTTTTCTTTTTTTATTTTTTTTAATTTTTTGTTGGGATTCATCCTTTCTACCCAATATAAAATTTTTTTATCTTAATTATTAAATTCTATTTTCTCTTTTTTTTTAAAAAAAAATGCATATTTTCTATATTGGGGATAATAGACTTACTTTGATGCTTCAATTTTTTTTTTTCATATTCTGATAATAAAAAATAATTTTCTTAGTATGAATCTCATATTAAATCTTGGCTTTATAATTGTTGGGTTCTTTGGCTCTTGGTAAATTTTAGACCAAAAAAATATATATATATTGTTTCTGTCTTGTTTTCTTTCATAACTCTATGATCATTCATTATTTAGAAATAATATATGTGTTAAAGTTTTAAAATATAGCTATTACTTCTGTTGTTATTAAATTAAATTTTATATAACTACTAAATTATTATTATTTACAACAAAATCTATTACATTAAGAAGAAATTACGACTTAATATTTGAGTTATATATGTTTAACAATCAAATTCAATAATTATAAAAGACGTAGAGCACTGTTAAAATATAGCATAAGAGAGATTATTATTACTTTCACTAAGTCCAAATTTGTATAAGAACAATACAATACTAATTGGAATTTTATTGGTCTTATAATTTTATTAGTTGAAATAATGTATGGTCTCAAGTATTATAAAACTAATTCTTAAGAGTATGTTTGTACAAGCAAGCTAATAAATACTAAAACATGGAATTGTTATTTTGATTAGGAAAAAAAATAAGTTGATGATGAAATTGAAAATAATTTTGAAAAAAAATATGAAAATTTAGGTTTAGATAATATTTTTGAAAGAAAAATCGGAAACTAGGGGTTAAAACGTAATTAAAAAAATTGTGTCACGTAAGACGGCCCAGTCAGCAGCTTCGAAAAATCAGAGCGCACCGCATGGTAAGTCACGCTAACTCGGTGTCACCCGGGAAGCAACGCTGGCAATCTGTGTGCTCGCGATCAGACGGCCCAGATGCGTTCCCCCGCGCGTGGACGATCCGGATCCATTCCCTCATCAAGGGCGATCGAACAGTCATGATTAAACGTAATAAACAGTCCAAATTCGTTTCCTATTTAAACACGATCGGACGGTAGAGATCAAATCACGATGAACGATTCAGATTCATTTCCTCTTTAAATACAATCAAATGGTCGAGATCAAACGTGATGAATGGTCCAAATTTAAGAGAGACGGATATAAATATATTGCATCACACCAAACTCAAACTCTAACCGCCAACCTCCCGCTAGAGAAGAAAAACCAATCGCCGGAGAAGGGAGCCAATCGCCAAAAAAAGTAAAACTTCTCATATCTACTCGGAATTTGATTTCGAGCACCCCCATAGTCACATCGGAGCAAAAGGAACGACGGATAAGCCGGAAACCACATGAAAAGTTTGGCACCGCCGCCATGGATAAAACCCAAAATCGCCTCTGATGAGCCAATTTATGTTTCCTGTTTTGTACAATTTTTTCACCATTGTGTTCACCGTTCTCTTTTCTATAGGCTGACCAAAGAAAAACACTCAGCCGCAAATGTGAGCCAGCGGAGCCGCTGCACCGAAAAATTCTGCCGTTAATAGGTTTTTGTTTTTTGACTTTTTTTTTTTGCTAACCAAGGTCCCCTAACGTGTTTTCTCGTAGATGAATATAAAACCAACCGAAAATGGCCAAGCCGAGGCAAACCGTCATCGTGGATGGTAGTGCCGTTGTTGGAGCACGGCGGTGCCGCGTGCCGAAATTTTGATTGACCAAAAAAGGTTTTTAACACCATTTTAGATTTTTTGGTATATTTTTAAATACGTGAAGTGTATTTTAATCTCTGTAAAAAATTTAAGGAACTTGAGGACCGTTAGTAGGCGCACCTGAAAGTTTGGTATTTCGGATACCGATTTGGGTAAAAATCTCTCACTTTATTTTCTGTTATGAAATTGAAACTTAATAATCGGTAATATGGTATTTTGTATTATCTAGAAAACTTTGAGAATAATTACAAATTATCAATGAAGCCGAAAATCAGTTAGTCATTTATTTATTGTCCTATTTAATTGATTATTAAATTTACAGTTTTAAATACATTATGATATACTGAAATGAGTAATTGATTCAATTCTGCTTCCTTGATATATGTATTGCTTGTCTTGCGTGATTTACGGTTGATTTATGAAATTGGTAATTAATATGCAAATAAAAAATTGATTTGGTAATGTGAATTAATGAATGGTAGCCTTACTGAATATCCTGAAAAATGATGGACGGACCGGGTACATAAAAAATTCTACAATGAATGTTGTCTCATACTAGACAAGGTATCGAGAATTAGTATTTTTGACACTCACACCGGACGAAGTATGAAAATGGTTCATTTCACCCTCATACCAGACGGAGTATTGAGGGATAGTATTTTTGGCACTCATATTGGACGGGGTATGGGGATGACCGGTTAGTTAACAATATTGAATATTGGTTCATGCATTGAGGAACATCCCTAGAGGCTCCCAGGGTTACTAGTATGCAAATAAAAAGGAGAAATTATTGTTCTTATTCACTTAAATATGATATTAGAATGTTATTTGAGTTATTATCTCTATAGATCGATTTTGAAAATCTTGTAACAGTAAATATATGCAATAAATGATTTTTTATGATAAATAAATTTACTTAAAGCAAGAGTTCCATTGGTTATTTTTATAATTTTTATCAACCTTCAGTTTTTGTATCGGTGAGTAGTGTGATATTTTTATTGGGGTAGTGTAGTTCACCATTTCATTAACTATTTCATATCAAGAGAACTAAAACCCAGATCCCGATCAATAAGAGGGTTGTGAGTAGTTCACCTGCCGGACTCCCTTCAAAAGTAAGTGAATGTCATCCTAGAATGCTCAACATATTATCTTTTATTTTTTATTTATTTTGTTTGTTTTTTTAGAATGGTAATTTCTATAGTCCTATTGGACATTCTAAATTATTGTTTAAGGAATGTAAACCCTAAACTCTATTATTTCGGTTTCGCATTTAATTCATGACTTTATTTTTTTTAAGTTCTGGGCCGTTACACACACACACACATATTTCCTATATGTACAAGATCATATAGTAGATATAGTATCTCTAATACCTCACCCGTCATTGTGTTTAATTAATTTAAAAACTATATTTATTCGGACATTTAGTCCGTATTGAACTCATTTAATTTACTCCGCATATTGTTTATTGTAAAACGTGAATCTTGCTAATTTTTAATTATTTTAATTTTATTTAATATTATTTTATTTTAATTATTTCTTTTTAATTTTAATTTAATTTCATTTATATTATTTGTTTTATTTAAAAAAAATGAAAAATTTAGAAAAAAATGGCGAAACGAGAAAAACATCCAGCAAAGAAGTTGCTCGCGGGGGATACTTGTGCACTGTGCACGCACGCACATCCCATCCACGCGCGCGGCACGGGATAAACCCTGTGTGCATCTTGTCTTGCATGGATACGCACCACACGCTGTGCGCACGTCATTCGCGCAACAGCTTGTGCTGATATGCCCTTGTGTACCA